CTGAAAGGAGCGCAAGGGAAGAGGACAGCCTGTTAGCGCAAGCCTGCGGGGCGGGAGCCAAACCAAATAGATTCGAGGGGCGATAATCTCTGCCAGGGCCGAGATTTTTTTTTTTTTAATGTTTCCTGAAAGGGCATGAAGCCTTTTAGGAGCTGTGCAAGTCCCCCTAAGCACGGCCGGACCCGGCGCGGGCGCGCGGAGGCTCCGCAGCTCCACGAGCGGGGCTGGGCTCTGGCAGAAGGGCGCGCTCCGATACTCACTTTCTTTTGAACTCTGTCGCTACGTCCACCCTTGCAGCATCCACCCCGAAGAAGGTCACGGAGCCGAGATAGAGCAGGGCTACGTGAGCTAGTTTCATTCTGGCTGGGCTCCTGAAGGAGGGAAGAGAGAAGAACTGTAAGCACGGTTGCTAATGAAAGTCAAGTAAGGTCTCTCCTTGTTTTTTGGGTGTTTGTTTTTTTTTTTTTTATGCTGGTTCCAGAGAGCTCCTTCCCTCGGAGAGCCCCCAAGCTACCGGGGACTTTGCGATATGAACCAGAAGCTAGTATTTGCTCAGCAGCTTATCACAGAGTAAATAACAGAGCCTCCAAAGTTTACGTTTGTCGACAGTTTTACTTGCAGAGGCGACTGAAAACCAGCAGGATTTCCAGAATACCCCCTGGGGTTTGTGCTAGGACTCAGCAAACCCATGAGATTAGAGAGCTGGCTATCAGACACATCGTTTCCAGACTCCAGCAAGTGTTTTGCTGCCTGCAAGTTTATCCTCTGATAATTCATCTTCCCACTTCACTCGCAGAACTAGCTCGTTCTGGATCTTATGCTGTAAACTGCAGCTGATGCCAAGAGGCAGTGCAAGGCTCTGCAGCATAACTCTAAGCTCTTCAAAACAGTCCAGATTTAGAAGATTTTTACTTCCTCTCCACCTCCCTACATCATTTTGTGTTGCTGATGTTGAGGAAAGAAAAAAAATAGTTCTTACCTGACAGCGAGGATAATCCACTGAGACAAATGTTCCTGGAGCAGCGATACTAACTTGCAGGGTTTCCCGAGGAATAAGAACTCCGTCTTTGTGTGTCTGAAGTAACCACTGCCGAGCTGCGCTCCACCTCTGCCTTTTATAGAGCGGGGGGGAAGGGGGCGGATCTTTGCGAAGTCAACTCCGCCCGCAGCGGATGTAGAAAATCATCCCCTATCCCCTCTAAATGGGATCATATGACCTGGAGGATCCTAAAGGATGGGATCATACGATCCTCTAAAGCACTTACTTCCCCGGTTATAAAGCTAAACCCGTGCAGGATCAAG